TAGAGACGGGGTCTCGCTCTTGCTCAGGCTGGTTTGGAACTCCTGAGCTCAAACAATCCACCCGCCTCGGCCTCCCACAGGGCTAGGATTAGAGGCGTGAGCCACCGCGCCCGGCCTGTATTTGAGGTTTTAAATTCAGAAGTTTATTGTTAATGAAAACTGAAAACTACCATAAGCAATGTTAAAACATGGCAAACTGGGAAAAAAATATGTGCAACTTGTATCACAAAGGGCTAATTTCCATAATATCTAAAAGGCTACTACAAATCAATAAAAAATATACCAGTGACCAGCAGAATTATGAACCCAGGATATGAACATAAATTTACAGGAAAGAAAATATAAATGGCTTGTAGACATAATGAAAGTATGCCCAGCTTCACTCGTAGGTACAGAAATATAAATTAAAACTACACATAATTGTTATTTTTAAAACATTAGATTATTCTGTTATAGCAACAGAAAAAAAAAGACAAAAAATAAATAAATAAAACATTAGATTAACAACACATTGTTTGGGAAAGCAAGTGCTCATACATTCCTGGAGGGAGTACAAATTGGCACTAGCTGTATGGAGAACAGTTTGGCAATATCAAAATTATAAATGCTGGAATGCTGAACAAATATTTTATAATATAAATTTAAAAATGGAACATTAAACAATTATTTTATACAGTTTTTTAAAAAATTGCCAGGCATGGTGGCTCACTCCTGTAATCCTAGCACTCTGGGAGGCCAAGGTGGGAGGATTGCTTGAGCTCAGGAGTTCGAGACCAGCCTGAGCAAGAGCAAGAACCCATCTCTACTAAAAATCGAAAAATTAGCTGGCATCACAGTGTGGGCCTGTAGTCCCAGCTATTCGGGAGGCTGAGGCAGGAGGATCACTTGAGCCCAGGAGTTTGAAGGTGCAGTGTGCTATGACAACGTCACCCAGGGTATCAGCGAGAATGTATCTCAAAAAAAAAAAAAAATTACAAATGCACATATTCTTTGAACCATTAATTCCACTTCCAGTAAATTATCTTATACCTGGACTTATATAGATGCAAAATGACATATATACAAGGATATTAATTTCAGGATTATTTTTAATAGAGAAAAAATTGGGAACAATCTAGATGTCCTCCAATAAGAGACTGGTTTAAAAAATAATGTACGTCCTTAGAGTGGGATACTCTGCTCAGCCATACAAAAAAGAATGAAGAAGCTCTGTTCTAAAAGGGAAAAAAATCCAAGGTATATGGTTAAATGAAAAACTCTATATTCCTGAATATACAGAAGAGCATGTAGAGTGCTATCTGTATTAAAAAAAGAAGGGAAGGAAACAATACATATGTTCTGTGTGTGTGTGTGTGTATGTATGTGTGTATGCTTGTATATATGTTATGAAATGTCTCTGGAAGGATACCTAAGTATCTGGGAACATTGAGTTCTTCTGGGGAGGGGAACTCAGGGGCTTGAGGACAAGGATAGGAGGGAAACTTTTCACCATATCTTTTGGTACTTTTTGAATTTTAAGCCATGCAAAGGTACTACCTGGTCAAAAAATTAGATTTAGGCCTGGTGTGTTGGCTCACATCTATAATCCCAGCATTTTGAGAAGCTGAGGCAGAAGGATTGCTTGTGGCCAACAGTTCAAGACCAGCCTGGGCAACATAGCAAAAGCACATCTCTACAAAAAATTTAAAAATTAGCCATGCATGGTGGTGCGCGCCTGTAGTCCCAGCTACTCAGGAGGCTGAGGCAGGAGGATCTCTTGAGCCCAGTAGTTTGAGGTTGCAGTGAGTTGTGATTGTGCCACTGCACTCCTGCCTGGGTGACAGAGGGAGACCCTGTCTGCTTAAAAA